AGCTTTTCGTGACCCTCTTTAGTACTTTGTTTTACCACCACTCTACTCCTCACAGTCATTCCTTTATAGCATTCAGTTTAGCCTCTTCCAACAAATCGAATTCTGCCACAGGCATACAATCTTTATACATATGTATATCGATGTTTCTTCACTTGTTTTCACTTACAGAATCGCGGGAATTGTGAAAGTTTAAACTTCTTTTTATAATTCCCCTAGGCTAATACCAACAACAAGCGCTATTGCTGCAAGTAGCTACTGGCATGGTGTCACCATATTTGTCACAACGAAAAACAATTCATTGCGCCGTGAATAATACAATAAAAGCACTTGTCTATATTTGACATTTGATGCTTTACATGCAGCAGTCAACGAGTGTCACCCTTGGATCGAGGAGACTCAAAACCTGGGGCTGGCTGTGTATAGAAGCATACGGATGTACATGACTTCTGGTAGTGGCGCATTGTGTGCCGTATAAACATATTTACTCACGGGCGTTGTGCTCAGGTGTGAAAATCATGTGTATGTATGCTCTTGTTCTACAAATGTGTGTGCATTGTTGCTGGGTGTCATAATTAAGTTTGACGCGTTTGGTGTTAATGGAAAAGTAATGAAGACGTAATTAAATAGGGATAACTAACAAGGTAAAAAAATGGAAAAATATAAAATCGAGGAACTATAAAATTAATCTTGATTGAGGGCAATTTTTTCGAAACAAATGTGTACTAATATTACATACGATTTACGCCACCGCAGTGCATGCAACAAAAAAAAAAAAAAATTACACACAAACTTAACATTAAAAACATGTTTATACTTCTGCAACATGTTGCTAAAGAGTTTTGTCCACCTAGCTGTTATTTGTATCACCTAAACTAGTCGAGGTATATGTATATACATATACTGTGCCCAAAAAATAAGGTGGCATTTGAATTTAAACTGCGGTCGTCGAAGGATTTGGGGAATTATTTTATTTTTAAGTTGGTAGTACATTTATGTCAAATATTCATTAATGTTTGAGATACGTGTCGTTTTGTGAGCTGCTAAAAGTGAGTTTTTCGTTTTTTGCGATGTTGAAATGTGTTGAGCAAAGAATTTGCATTAAATTTTGTGTACGGAATGAATTTTCTGCTGCGGATACGTTGAGGATGGTGCAGAAAACCTTTGGTGATGAGGCTATGACTAAAAGAAATGTTTACAAGTGGTATAGTGAGTTCCAAGCCGGCCGTGAACGTGACGAAGACGAAGAGCATCCAGGGCCACCATAAACCTCAATCGACGAAGCTCACGTTCAACAAATCAAAGATTTGGTGCTGAAAAACCATCGATTAACAATTAGAGACCTTGCTGATAAAGTTGGCATATCGAAAGGCTCATCCAATACCATTTTGAAGGATGTTTTGGACCTCAAGCGCGTCAAATCTCGACTGGTACCGAAAAAAAAAAAAATGCCACGCATTGAAGTGTGTAAACTGATGCTTTCCGACTACCAGGCTGCCATGAAACGCATTATAATTGGCGATGAGACTTGGATCTATGCTTAGGACCCCGAAACAACCGATCAATCGAGCGAATATCGTGCCCAAAGAGAGCCGAGACCAAAAAAATCGCGCCAAAGTCGCTCAAAAATCAAGGTCATGTTGACTGTTTTCTTCGATTATCGTGGTGTTGTGCATTATGAATTCCTTCCAACCGGTCAAACAGTCAACATGGACTACTATTTGAACGTTATGCGTCGTTTGCGTTTGCTATTCGCCTAAAAAGGCCGGAATTGTGGAAAGACAATTCTTGGTTTTTACACCACGATAATGCCCCATCACATACCGCCCTCGTAATTCGTGATCATTTCGTTCCGCAACCACCTGATCTGGTACCGCGCGACTTCTGGCTGCTCACCAAGCTCAAAAGACCGCTCCGGGGACACCGTTTTTATACGATAGAGGAGATTCAAGCCGCAGCGATGACGGAATTAGGATGCGGTTTTTTGGGGTATTTTATATTATAGAAAAATTTGACTGGAAAACGCATTTCTTTGCAAGAAGACCGCTAATTTGTTATTGTAAAATAAAAATAATTAACCAAATTGAAAATAACTCTCCGGCGATACCTCGTCAATTAAGTACAGTACAGTACAGTATTAGTACAGAAATAATGTTAAGAATTGGAAAGCGACCACAGCAGTAGGTTTTTAGTTATGAAGCGCATCAACTTTTCAAACGGTAGTTATGAGAAATAGCTTTAAATTTTTTTAACACCAAAAACATCATATATCTTATTCATAAAAAAAACAATTAAAACATAACATACAATATTTGAGTGGTTGTGCTCAAGGTTACATACTAAATCGGTTGATTAAAACAAATCTGTATGATTAACAGTATTTAATATAGATTATAAGTACGTGATTTATAGCAAAGCAACGATTTGGCCATGGATATGGTATTGTCATCTACTCTAAATATATATTTTCTACGTACAATTTTGCACGAAGTAGGTTCTTTAATTCAAAAGCTGAAAAATTGGAAACAGTTCTTACTTATAAATTAACGACCGATTTTTATTTACAACATTAGGCTTTATATACCTGTAATGTACTGTTAAGCGGAAAGACGGATAGACAGATGTGGTATTTTTGACACAAATAGCCATTATTTGCTTAGTGAATTTTGTTTTTTTTATTAACTTTACTATTAGTTATTGAATCTACCCTACTTAAGAGCCTAACAATAAATTTGCGAATCTTAAACTACTCACTTAATTTTTTTTTTTTTTTTATTTAAAAACTGGGCCTAGAATATATTACGTCTGGGCTGGTAAGTCGTTTCTACGTAATCTTGAGCTCCTGTTCACACGCAGTAACGTTCTTGCTAGTTGGTTTGGGTGAACCGATAGTTTCAATGCATATTTCGCGCTTCGGYGCTCTATTTCAGTTCGTACGTCTGGAATTCTTAAGTCGCGTTGGATGTTCTCGTTTCGGATATACCACGGTGCTCCGGTGATTGTACGAAGAACTTTTGTTTGTGCACGATGAAGAATTTCGATGTTGCTGCTACTCGCGTTGCCCCACAGCTCACAACCATACGTCCAGATTGGTTTTGAAACTGTGTTGTATATAATGACTTTATACTCTAGACTCAGGGCTGAGCGAGAGTTAATAAGCCAGTGCAAAGAACCTGCCTTTAACTTAAGGTAAGTCCTTTTAGCCTCTATGTGCTTTCGCCAAGTGAGTCGCCTAGCCAGATGGACCCCTAGGTAAGTAACATGGTTGCTTTGTGGTATTTGTACGTTGTTCAGTGTCAAAGGCGAACAGCTGCTCTTGTTTAGGGTAAATGTAACGTGCTTACATTTTTGCTCGCATTTGCATGAATTGGGCACTTGGAGCGGCTGAGTATTGCAGTGTCATCGGCAAAAGTAGACATAGTCAAGCGGTCGTTTACCGGGATATCTGAAGTGTATAAAACATATAACATTGGACCAAGAACACTGCCTTGTGGTACACCAGCTTCATTCCTTTGGGCTTCTGATGTAGTGTTGTTACATCGAACTACAAAATTTCGATCATAAATATAGGACTTAAACAGTTCATGGGTGTTTTGCGGGAGTAGCGTTTTTATTTTGTACATAAGACCATCTAACCATACTCGATCAAAAGCCTGCGCGACATCAAGAAATATTGCAGAGCAATATTTCCGTTTTTCAAAAGCTGTGCGAATTTCAGATGTGATTCTATGTACTTGCTCGATCGTTCCATGCTTTTCCCTGAAGCCAAATTGGTAAGATGGTATTATGTTGTCGGTTTGAAGATGTGGCTTAATGCAGAGCATAAGAAGTCTTTCAAATAATTTCGACATGCAGGATAACAAGCTGATGGGCCTATAGGAGGATGGCTGCGTTTTGTCCTTTCCAGGCTTAGGTATCATCACTATAGTTGACTTTTTCCATTGTTGAGGAAAGTGAGCTTGTTTTGTGATTGCATTGAAAAACATACAGATACAGGTTATAGCACAATTTGGTAGCTCAATAATCATTTTTGGAGTAATTAAGTCGTGCCCAGGAGCTTTTCTTGGTTTCAATTTCTCCATAATTATTTCTGATATCTCTTCAGGTGCGAATTTCACTGGCTCAGATTCCATCAAGGAGGGTACGGTTGGAAGTGTAAAGTCATTAGTTTCTGGGTTTGGCTGGAAGACATTTCTTAGATGAGCAGCGAAGGTTGCTGACTTTTCTGCATCACTTCGAGCCCATTTGCTTAGTGACTAAATAAAAAAAAAAAATTACATATCTACTAATAAAATGTAATACTACACCGAAGGTCAGAATTTGAAGACAACCAGAAGATTTGTATAAAACCACTTGCATTGATAAATTTTTCTGGATATTTATTTTTAATCAAGAGATCCAATACGCATCAATGACAGATGAACTTCTGTGCTCAAAGTGTCACCAAGGATCGAATCTTCCTTGGAAAACTTCTCTCCACTTTCTGTCATCGAGTTGTGTCCTCACAACTTATTGTTAATTACATGTTCAAAGTGCAGGTCCGAAATCAACCGTTGCTAAGCATCTGGGAAGCCAAAGACCGCTTTATTAATACTACAGTGCAAACAGATGATGCGACATCTCACATACATAGGCTACAATTCAAAAATAGCAATTGAGTCTTAATGTTAATATGAACCATAAAGGACGTCAGTCACGCACGTCTTCACAGGTTATACATGTCTATTGGTGATAATGTCACCTTCATATGTGCAAATTTGCAAACATACATGCATACCCACAACCGCGAATTGGACAAATGCATTTCGTTTCATAGCGATAAGACCGACCGCCTGTAAAAAGTTCATTGATTTGCACTTGTAAGTGATTCGAGGGTTAAACGAATTGAAAACAATGGCATTAATTACCAAAAAAGTATCGCAAGTTTACTGTATTGAGATAATGAAATGGACCAAGCCATTGATAAAGCGTGGCCTGTCGCTATATAAGCCGATACTTGGCTGGAGTCTAACACAGTTGTCTACCGACATTGATTGGTAGAGTCCAGCGGATACATTTTCATTCAACTACTTGGCGAGAGTATTTGTGAATATTCGACATGAGGACGTTCGTACTTCTATTAAGCTGCCTTGTCTGCTGCGCCACAGCAGGACACTACGGTTTGGCGCAGAAACTCTTACACCTAAATAATGTACGCACTGGACAAAAGGGTGAGTTACTCAAGGCGAAATTACTTTCGAAATATTTGGTTAATATAATATTATATTATCTGTGCACCCGGATCAAGGTTATACTTCTGTGGGCACGGATCAGCGTCAGCATCAAGAATTTCTACTCGATGTACTACTCCAAGTACAGAAGCCCTTGGTTAATAATCAGCTCGTCCAACTTGGTCAGGAACTTGTTACGGATCCCAATATGTATTTGTTGGTGAGCTTCTAATTGACTTCCGATTTTCAGAATGCATCAGGTTAATAAAAACTTGTTTTATTTAGTCAAGCGATGAAATTTTGCAGCAGTTCTTACAGCAGGCCGAAAATCGGGAGGTTATCGGTCGTAACGGCGTCTACAATCCAGTAGATATCTCAAATATACGCCAATTAGTTGGACTTCAACGATTCTTTGTGCTCGCCCGTGACTTCAACGTTTTCCAAAGAAATGTGGTTTATGCGCGTCTTTACTTCAACCCTGTTATGTTCGTGGATGCCCTCTCGCTGGCAATACGTGACCGTCCAGATACTCAGGATCTAGTGTTACCACCAGTGAATGAGATATTACCGCAGTTATATTATGACAACTATGTACTCAACTATGCGCAAAATATTGATTATAGTGGTTTGATTTCACAAGAAGCCCGGGCGAATGTGAAATCAAGTATTTTCGACATCTTCGGTCTGCGCAGAATTGGTTCATTGTTTCAATTAGGCAACTACGGTAACTACAATCCATTGCAACAGAGATATAGCGCACATAGGTATGGTTTCGGCCGGTTCGGAATTGCTCCTGTTAACAGTAAAGAAAACGGTGGTGAATACGTTGTAGAAGGCAGTTATATACAAGAAAAAATTGTTGTGCCAGTGGAGGGAAGAGACGGTACTGATTTAACAAACGATGTCGATCTGAATGTTGCATGGAACAATATTGTTATTGATCAACTGGTGCAAGCTGTAACTGAAGGTGTAGAGGGAGGTCAGCAATATGCAATCGGTTCTAATGGATTACCCCAAGTTGATGTAGGCAGTCCGCGTCTATCGTTTGTTGGACGTCGGCGTCGTGTGGATAACGGTGGATATTCTGCATATGTCAATCCTTTCTACGGTCAGCAAAACCAATACGGTTACAACGACCAAGAATATGCTCGTCATCAATACAAATCACAGCAATATGGGTACACAGGTCCGGAATATTCTTACGATCGTCAACAAAACCAAGCAGGTCAATATAATTACAAGGGAAACGATTATTCCTACGGGCGTCAACAGAAACAGGGACCTCTATATGGCTACAAAGGCAAAGAATACTACTATGCTCGTCAACAGAATCAGGGATCCCATTATGATCAACAGAATCACGGATCACAGTATGGATACGATGACAATCAATACTCCTATGGTCGTCAACAGAATCAGGGATCCCAATATGGTTACAACTCATATGGTCAACAAAATCACGGATCCCAGTATGGATACAAAGACAACGAATACTCCTACGGTCATCAACAGAACCGGGGATATGGTTACAACTCATATGGTCAACAAAATCACGGATCCCAGTATGGATACAAAGACAACGAATACTCCTACGGTCGTCAACAGAATCGGGGATCTCAATATGGTTACAACTCATATGGTCAACAAAATCACGGATCACAGTATGGATACAAAGACAACGAATACTCCTACGGTCATCAACAGAACCGGGGATATGGTTACAACTCATATGGTGAACAGCAAAAAGGATCTCAATATGGTTCGTACTATGGTATACCATATGGTCGACAGCCGTATCAGGGATCTCAATATGGTTACGAAGATCAACAATATTATTATGGTGGTCAACCAAATCAAGGAGCAAAGTACAGTTACAATCATCCAGTATATAGCTCGTCTTATTATAATCCATACGGTCGCCAACAATATAATTACAAAAACTACGAATACCAATATGAACCAAGAATTCAACAACAAGACCAATATCAAGGTCAACAACAGCAGCAGACCTATCGTGTGTTCCCCTATGGACCGCAAGAAGTGGTTAACACCAATGTTGGAGATGACGTAGTGGTGATTGATCGTGTAGTTCGTGACACACACAATCGTGGGCAAAGTGGCAAACGTTATAACAGCGATGAAGGTAAACGAGTTAGTTATCGCAATGCCGAACAATATCGTGAGCTGGAAGGATTACATGAGGGTATTATTCGTAGTATTGACCCCACTCAGCAGGTAAGCTATATTCGACGCGGTGAAATACTTTTGCAAAGTATACAAGAATTGGCTGCCAGATTGAATATTCAGCGCATTGTGGAAACCCTTGAAGGAAGTATTTACCAGCAACAACATATTCAGCATGTGCAACAGGAAGTAGATCAAATAATTCAACAAATCCGTGCACTTGTTGAACAAATTCGTGAAGAGGCTGGTATTAGCGAAGGAAGCGAACGAACGCTGCATATTGTCGCAGATATTATAGGCGGTAGAATTGTACTCGAACAACAACAACAACTATCGATCGATGTGAAGCGCACTTTACAAGAATTGCAACAACAAATACAACGCATTGTTGGAAATCAAGTTGGTCAAGTGAATGAGGTGACTCCGCTTGTTTTATTATTCGGCTCTTTACGCAGTCCAGTAACTCAACAAACCATTTTATCATTGGCCCAACTGATCGATGATTACCGTCAGAAATTGCAACCATACACCAGCAGCCAACTGAGCGGCAATGGCGACATTAAAGTTCAAAATGTTCAAATCGATCCTTTGGTCACCTATACTGAGGTTGTGGACGTAGATCTTGTCAATATGATCGATCAGCAGCTTTTGCAGTCGAACGCCAACAATCTGCAACAACTTGGCCAAAAAGTGGTGGCTCGCCAACAGCGTTTAAATTATCAACCATTCACCATCTCTTTGGACATTGAATCTCAACATCAACAAGAAGTTGCCATACGTGTTTTGCTCGCACCTCAAGTCGATTCTACTGGACGTCGTGTATCTTTGGCACAAAATCGCAAGAACTTCGTTCTCATCGATACTTATGTGCAACAATTGCAGGCAGGTGTTAACAATATCGAACGCAATTCACGCCAATTCAATGGATACAACAGCGAAGTCTGTACCATTAGCCAAATCTACCATCAGATAATGACTGGACAAATCAATGTACAATCGGGTGTTACTCGCCAGCTCCCAAGAAATCTTTTATTACCACGTGGCTCTGCTAATGGAGGTTTGCCTGTACAGATTATGGTTGTAGTGACCCCACTAAACCAGCAAGCTGAATTGTTGCATGTTGAGGCACGGCAAATCAGTGGTTTGGGAATCGCTGCTGTCGGTGTGGACCAATTGCCGCTGAATTACCCGCTAGATAGGCAAATTGTTGACGGACAACATTTGGATGTGCCCAACATTCAGTTGGTGGAAACTGTTATCCAATATGACAGTCGCCGCAGTGCTTTAGACACTGGCTGCTAGTTGCATTAGCCGAAGCTGTAACACTTATATGAACAGGTTTTAACTTTGATTACTCTCACTTTGAATTTTGTATTGTATTTCTGCTAAAAACACAATTTCTTTTCGTTAATACTGATATGTAAAATACTTTATATTCGATAAATAAAGCTTTTAAAGACAGAAAGAAATAGTTCAGCGTTTATATGAGCATTATTGGAAAATTTAGAAACCTTATACAAAATATTTTTATTTATTTTTGTTTTTGTTCAAATATTCAATAAGTTAATTCAAATAAGTAATGAATGGTGAAGTTCGGGTAGAACCAAACAGTTTATACAGCGGCTAAGGGCAGCATTTGGAATCTTGAACAATTATGGTCTGATTTCGACAATATTTACGACAGTGCCACTTGACTCTTAAGTGAAAGAATCAGAGGCAATTTACAATTGTGTTATATGCGAAGTAGTCGATCATGTTTCCAGATTTCGCCGTAACCTAGGAGTGCAAGATGATATTAAGCACGAAATTTGGTTAAAAATGGGGGTAAATTCGAGGGCGGCATCCCCCGACTTTGGGGTTAAAATGGGTATGTGCGGATAGAGGAGGTTCTCCAGGTTTAAAAAAATATATATAGTTTAATTAAAAAAAAAAGAAGTTTTAAATATTTAAAGTATTTCTTCAATTTGTAATGAATTTTATGCTTATATTTTAACTTTTGTTTCATTAATATTTCACTAATTCGTTTCTACACATTTATTTTATATCAAATAGTTGAAATCAATTTATTCATACAACAACAAAACGGAAACGAAAAGTAAGGACGAGTTGGTATATGGATTAATCGAAAATGTATAAAGTGCCATAACTAAGCACTAAATAAGATGACAAATAGGGAAGGGCTAAGTTCGGGTGCAACCGAACATTTTATACTGTTGCAACTTGCAATAATCAAAACCAGGAAAATACTTTGAGGTGTAAAACTAATCATATAGAGTAAAGTCAACCGGATGTTCGAAAATCCTGATGTTAGTTATATAGGAGCTAGTTCAAGTTTTTGTTAAATTTATCTACAAGTAGTTTAGGCAGAAAGATGCACTGTTATGAGTAAAACACGTTCTTTTATTTTCATTTGCATAACTCACATATTGGCCGAGATTCGGTCCAAAGCCACACCAAAGTTCGAAAAAATTTATATTATATTCAACCCATTTTTGATATACAGACATACCATTATAAGAAAAGGATTACCCCTTAATTTCAGTTATATATATCACACATTGACCTAAATTTTCCATCAAAAGTCAACTATAGCTACCGGGGTTTAAATATTCGGTACCTTTGAACAGGTTTTGTTGGATATAAACGATTTTATACTGTTGTATGAATTGATTTTTGATTTGTGCACTGGAAACTGAATGACGAATGAAGTGGAAATTAAAATTGTGCTATATGGAAAGTAGGTGTGGTTATTGTCCGATTTCACACCGTCGGTAGAAGTTCAATTGCGAATTTTTTATTGAAAATGTCGTCATTTGATTGAATTGGATCAATAGCTTCTCTAGCTGTCATATATCCAATAGAAAGATTTTTGAACTTCCACTTAACTTTATACCACATCTGTTGGCAAATGGTGAGTTGTTTTAACAAAATGTGGGTAGCCAGTTTTTCTAATAACGGTGCATCTTTGTGTGTTGAATGAATAAAATCGGGTGAAAACTTACCTTGGACTCCATAAAACTTGAAGGTATTTCCCCATTCCTTAGGTGTCATTGTACGACGGTTAACAATGTTTGTGTGGAAAGAAAGCCGAGTCATAAAAGGCAAGAGAGCTACAGAAACAAAAATTTCAACAGCCATTAAGAATTAGATTAAAGTTTATAATTTTTAAATGTTAAGATAGATAAAATAATTTTTTTTTTTAATGGTAAAGAGTGAGTCTGTTAGATCAAATGTGCTGGAATGAGAATTGAAATCATGACATATGCGGCGGGATGGTTCGTTTAGCTCAAAATTTGTTCTGGAAAATTTTAAAAGTAAGGGTCTAAATTGCCTTGTAGAGCGAGCAGGAACGTTAAAATTAATATCAAATAAAAGAGATAGGCTACAGACTGACCCATTCATGAGTTTTACCAGAAATATTAAACCAAGCATCTCCCTACGACTAGCGAGTGTCGGGAGATTTATAAGTTTTAAACGGTTAGTGTAAGGGGGAAGAATTAAACTAGAATCCCAATGCAAATGATTTAAGGCAAAAAGTAACAAGTAAGGAAGGGCTAAGTTCGGGTGTCACCGAACATTTTATACTCTCGCATGATAAAGTGATAATCGAGATTTCAAGCGTGGTTGTGAACCGATTTTACCCATATTTGGTACATGTCATCACGGTGTTAAGAAAATATTATATACCGAATTTCATTGAAATCAGTTGAGTACTTCCTGAGATATGGGTTTTGGTCCATAAGTGGGTGACGCCACGCCCATTTTCAATTTAAAAAAAAAAAGCCTGGATGCAGCTTCCTTCTGACATTTCTTCCGTAAAAGTTAGTGTTTCTGACGTTTTTTGTTAGTCGGTTAACGCACTTTTAGTGATTTTCAACATAACCTTTGTATGGGAGGTGGGCGAGGTTATTGTCCGACTTCTTCCATTTTTGAACTGTATATGGAAATGAATAAAAGAAACGACTCTATACAGTTTGGTTGACATAGCTATAGTAGTAGATATGTACAAAAAAGTTAGTAGGGGTCGGGGCCACGCCCACTTTTCCAAAAAAATTACGTCTAAATATGCCCCTCCCTAATGCGATCCTTTGTGCCAAATTTCATTTTAATATCTTTATTTATGGCTTAGTTATGACACTTTATAGGTTTTCGGTTTCCGCCATTTTGTGGGCATGGCAGTGGGCCTATTTTGCCCATCTTCGAACTTAACCTTCTTATGGAGCCAAGAAATACGTGTACCAAGTTTCATCATGATATCTCAATTTTTACTCAAGTTACAGCTTGCACGGACGGACGGACAGACGGACAGACAGCCATCCGGATTTCAACTCTACTCGTCACCCTGATCACTTTGGTATATATAACCCTATATCTGACTCTTTTAGTTTTAGGACTTACAAACAACCGTTATGTGAACAAAACTATAATACTCTCTTTAGCAACTTTGTTGCGAGAGTATAAAAATTATTTTCGAACGGACTCGATTTTCTCAGAATGATCTAGATAACAAGGGTTCCATACCACGGAAGCATACTCTAATATAGGCCTCACCAGAGATGTAAAAAGAATTTTCGTGGTAAGCGGATCTCTAAATTCTTTATACCAACGTTTAACAAAACTAAGAGCGCCTTTAGCTTTAAAAACCGTGGAAGATGCGTGAAGATAAACTTTTGAGTTACTCCTAGATCAACAAAACTGCATACTTGCTCCAACCTATAGTTTTGTATTGCGTATGAAGTAGGGTATACAACTCCACGCTAAAAGCACATCGTTCTTCATTTTTTAAGGTTCAATGGTATGTCATTTCTATCACTCCAAGAAACTAGGTTGTTTAAGTCTGATTGGAACTAACATCTTTCGCTGTTTGAAGTATGTATATTTTTTTTTAAAGTTTTACATCGTCAGCACATAATAAAAATTTTGAAAACTTAACTACAGATGATATGTCATTAATAAATAAAAAAAACAGAATTGGACCAAGATGGCTACCTTGAGGAACGCCTGAAGGAACATTGATTATGTCGGAAAGAGTATCGTTAAATATGATTTGTTGAATTCTATTACTAAGAAGCAACCCATTTTAGAATATTGGTTGAAAACCAAGAAGATCAAGTTTATTCAAAAGAATTGATGGGATACTTTGTCGAAAGCTTTACTAAAATCTGTGTATATAGTATTCTTATTCTTCCTAAAGCCCGTTGATACATGTGATACAAACTCAAGAAAATTAGTTATTGTAGATTTCTCTTTACGAAAACCGTGCTGAGGACAAGAAATTAGTGGAGAGATCCGGAAAGTTATGTCGTCTGTTATAATTGCTACAAAAAGTTTAGGTATTGCAGACAACTTTGCTATTCCCCTATAGTTTTCAATAGATGATCTAAATCCACTCTTATGCAAAGGAATTATAAATGACTTTTTCCATGTGGATGGATAAAAGCCTTGCATAAGAGATGAATTAAATAGTTTTGTTAGGGGTTGGTATATATATTTGGCACATTTCTTAAGAAGGCATGAGGGAATCATATCTGGGCCGTAATTGTAATTGTGTTGTAATATATTTAACTTATATAAGACGTATGCTTCGGAAATAGTAGGTGCATTAATGACAGAAATCGGACATAGCTTGTGCTGATTCGGAACATCWTTTGGAGATTTTTGAGAGTAATTGGACCTAAAGAATTCAGCGAACATATTAGAAATGGTCACTGGACATACTATGTAGACTTATATTTCATAGCAGATGGATAATTAGAAATCCTGCGTTTGGAGTTGACGAAACCATAGAACAATTTTGGATTACGTATAATATTATTTTT